TCCATTCCCGTGCGGAGGAGGGGAAGGGGAGCGCTGACTCACCCGCCGTGTCACTGCTGGTGGGGGGTGGTTCTCCTTAGCGCAACATGTCAAAATATATATGAAACAATCTCTTACAAGAAAAATATAATTTAAAATGACATAAAAAATTCCAAGGGAAAGCAATGCTTGAAGCTGAACAAAACAGCATGTAATCTCTAGAAGAGTAATTTATAAACAAAATTTATGATGTGCCTGTATACATTGCATATGTCTGTAAAGAGTTAATGCTTCATAATCTATGGCATTTTTAGTTCTTTAAAGCACAGTAGTAATAATATACTGCTTAGATATTATGTCTTGAAAGGGTCAGGTGTCATATGAAGGTTTTTCTTTGGTAGGAAAATAATGAAAAGAATAAAAAGTTACAGAAAGAGATCCAAGAAAAGTATATCCTCGAAGGAGAACTGCAGAAGATACAAGTAGAATCGCCACTTACAGTAAGTGTACTTGAGAAAAAGCTGACCATGGCTCATGACGAGATACTGGACCTCAAACGTTGTAACATGCAACTCAGCATGGAAAAAGAAAACTTACATTCTGAATTGGAGAGACTGCGGGAGAGGTGAGATGCTAATGATTTAATTATACTAACCAGTATAGTTCCATTGAAAATATAAGAGGAATTGTTATGTATAAACTTTCATATCTTTATCTCCTCCCCTCCTTTCTCTCATATCCCTTTCAAATCCATTTTATTTGTCTGTCCTCTCATAATTTCTTTCTCCCTTCCTCCATCACTCTTTTTTGCATTAAAACAGTTGAAGTAAATATAATTCGAAGTGTATGTTGTTCAAATGAAACCTGTCATGGGTGAGGTAGTGATTTCCTCACAGGCATTTAGGTGGGATGAATCAGCTGGTGGATGCCCTCCACAAGGAATACCTGAACCATTGCAACCGTGATGTCTTTGTCTTACTGTTGCCCTTTAGTGCCTTCTTAAGGGGGTAGAATGTGCAAATGGGTTTCTTTTGAAGAACCGTCATACTAACATTTTGTCAGATGACTTTCATTACTGTGGAACCGGTGTGAAAATGACAGACCCACAAATGCTGCTCTGCTTCAACTAATTATACAGTGATGACTGTAGTGAATATATAATGAACAAAAAACCTTCCAAAAGTTAATTTGATTGATGTGAAACTTAAAATTTAAAATTGTAATGTAGCACATATTTACAGTGCAGCATAATACTCTGATTTTCAGCCATGCACTGGATATTCGAAAGATGAATATGGAATGCCATTTCATGGAAGAACAGATTTTAGGCCTGCAAACACAGTTGGAAGCAGAAAATCAAGCTAAGAGTAAGATCAGTGAACATGCAGAGAAACTGGAAGAACAGGCCCGTCTTATGGAACAAGAACTTGAAAGACGACGTCTAATGTTCAGTCAGGATCAACCGTGAGTAATGAATTCACATTTTTGTACACCGAGTATAAAAGAAAACAGGAAAAGGGATTCATAACTCTCACCCTACTGAGATAGACTTCTTGGATGTGATGCTGTGCAGCCTGCCAGAGTAGAAGAGTGCAAGTATCAAAAGAATCTGTATAACTTTCTCCCTTGAAGGTGGAGGTATCGGGGACCCAGAAATGTTGGGCACCGTGACACATCTCAGAAGACTGTCATCTTAATAGATACAGGTGCGATAACTTCAGCTGACTGAGGTTAGGAATATGTGGAGCTTTCAACTCCACACCCTCATACAAATTGACAGCCTAGTGTTCTGCCATCTGTTTTGTAATATGTTGATTCATATAAGATTTGGAGCTTTCGTGGTGAATAAATGTATCTTGAACAATCAGCCATGCCAGTGTTGAACTAAAATCCAACACTGGTTTTTAAGTTCAACAGCATTGACATGGATGATCATCTGAGAAGATTTTAGTGCAGATGTGTTGATTCTACTGCCGTCATTTTCAGAGATTGGCAGCAACAGCAGCATGGACAGGATCATCATCAGTTGATGACACAGATACAAGAAATTCAGAAGCAAAGTGATGCAACAGCCAGTGAACTTGAACACCATCTTGAGAGGCAGCACTTGATGAAAACCAAGTAATAAATCTTCTCTTCACGCTGTCACCACCTCTGTAAATGTATAACCCCCCTTAACTTTGTGGGTTTTGTCATGTCTTTACACTCGCTGTCAAGATGGCAGCTGCACTAAAATGGAGCACTTTGAACGCATAAAGTAGCTAGGTCTTCAAAGCCAAAGTTATTCAAGTATAAAATCAATACAAAGTCTGTCGACACTCGACAGACTTTGTATTGATTTTATGTATAATAGTGTAACGGACCAAAATGAAACAATTCAAAATAGTTATTCAAGTAATTAAGATTTCCTATGATAGATGGTTGGTGCCATTGTAACGATGAGATGCGACATGTGCAGGTCTTCTCATGCGTTATCTACATTTGCCATACAACTTAACATGTTACCATGAAAAATACATTTCCATTTAGTGTCATTTTACTAACCAAGATAAGAAAGTTATGAATATAACCCCAATGAGGCACGTGTCATACCAATTTCATACTGTTCCAGGTATCAGAAGGCAATGAAGAGCGTGACTCAGAAACTTGTACTGCGATTACAAGATGTCCATTCTGAAGTAAATGCCCTAAGAAAGGAGAACAAACAGTTGAAAAGTTGCCTTCAGAAACTAAGAGATGGAGCAGCTACTCATAAATCATCCCAGAAGAATGACTGATACGTGAATCTTTTACTTATTTTAAGGAACACTGCATTGTTATGTATGGGTAATGTGAGTTACTATATATTTTTGTACATTTATATTACATTAAATCTCAGGAAGGTATGTAAGAATTAGTGAATTTTGCTGCTCACACATCCTGTATGTTGATGGGGTAAGGTACACTTCACAGCAGGTCGGTGTGGAATGAAAGCAGTGTGTGGAGTTACAAGAGAGAGTACATACAAGTCTTCTGGGATGTGGCAGCATGTAGTTTGATAGGTACCCTAATCAGCATAACCTGCTGCATTCATCTTCAGTATAGAATAGATGACCTGAGCTAGGAAAACAGTACATAACGCAGGGAGGGGAGCTCTGGGTGAACCATTTCCGTTTTCACAGCACTGTTTCCTCAAGGGGAAACAAAACTTGTAAGACAAAGAGAATAATTTCTTTAAATATGGAAAATGTGAAAGGAAATGTGGAGATGAAAGGAGGACGAATGAAAGAAGAAAAAGAGGAAAGGTCACCAAGAAAAGGCTGTTATTATCAGTAGGCCCTTCTAAGGTTAGAGCAGCATTTCTCAACCTTAATTTTCTAATGACCATTTTCTTTTTGAGGAGACAATTTTGTTTGCAGCCATCAACAACCTGTCGTACTGGAAAGAAGCTATGAGCGTGCCATACCAGCTGGTATATCGGGGGGGNGGCATGACTTGCCTAATGACACCTTTGGAACCCCACCAGGGAACAATTGGATTAGGAAAAGTCACATGGTATATTGTTATAAGCAGGCTACCTCCGTTTCTTCAGGTTGTAAATGAGAGGCTTCCATGACTTGCTATAAATATACAGGGTGTCCCATCACCTTAATCTTTATATATTAAAAGGGGAGGGTGGGGACGTTCACTAGTCTCACCCGATCAAAATGTAGATGTAATGGAACATGGTCACCTGAATGCATGCCAGCTTCAAGCTTTCTTTCAAACGTCTGAAGATGTGTTCAACATAATACCATATTGGTATCTTCAGAATGTTTCACAGTGGCACTGCAGCAGGTAGCCATGGGTATGTCAGGCTGGAGGTGGTCTCCATCTCAAGTGGCTTCACAGATTGCATTGCATGCCACACATAACCACTGGAGGTAAGGCTCCCATCCCCAAAATTCTGAAGCTACCATTTTGTAAACTGCTGTGATAGACTTAATATTAATAATTTAATGTTAAATTTGACAATAATATGAATATGTTTTGTGATAATACTTTTGTAATTTTAACAGTATTTTTCATTAAACCTGCAAATGAAGTTAGTAAATTGTATTTTATATTTATAATCAAGACTGATGTATCTTGAAACTCCCAAATACAGACTGGGTTTGTACATCAGCAAAAACAGTATGGTTGACAATAATATGAATATGTTTTGTGATAATACTTTTGTAATTTTAACAGTATTTTTCATTAAACCTGCAAATAAAGTTAGTAAATTGTATTTTATATTTATAATCAAGACTGATGTATCTTGAAACTCCCAAATACAGACTGGGTTTGTACATCAGCAAAAACAGTATGGTTGACAATAATATGAATATGTTTTGTGATAATACTTTTGTAATTTTAACAGTATTTTTCATTAAACCTGCAAATAAAGTTAGTAAATTGTATTTTATATTTATAATCAAGACTGATGTATCTTGCAACTCCCAAATACAGACTGGGTTTGTATATCAGCAAAAACAGTATGGTTAACACATTGCGGACCAGTTGTTTAAATATTTAAATCAGCCTGGGGACCAGGGTTTTTAAGCCTAACACCCTAACTTGTGCACTGTTCACTTTAAAAATTAATATAAAATCTCCTAATTAATTCTATGAACTAAAATTGACAGGAAATGAGCGTGATCATGTTACTGGCTAAGCTAGCAAACATTCCCGAGGTCAACTACGCAGTAGTTATGATGCAACGTGGCCACACAGCGAGATATAGTCGGTTGCAACATAATGCGTCAGAAAAGGGCCAATTGGCCCGCCCGGTCCACAACGCTATAGAAACGTAGAGGACCAATTGGCCCGTCCGGTCCTGAATGTATTAAGGCTCACATTCTGAATGATAGAAGTAGCGAGAACTGTTATGCTTTCAAGATTTATATATGGAAAAGAGGGAAATGAAATTAAGGAAGGATGAGATACACAAAGTGTAAGGACATTGAAAAGGGTGGAAAGTAGTTCTATTATATGCTGTGCAAAGTTCTAAAATTTCATCACAGAGCAAACAAGTGTGTTTATGCTGGTTTATGTATCTGGTTACTTGTATCATGTATGGGAATATTTCATAAGTAAATACAAATGCATCCAACAGCACTGCATCATGTCTGACAGGGTTACATAATACAGTTAAACTTGGCAGGTTACACAGACAGTCCTACAAATACTTCTGTCACAGTTTTAATGAAGATGCCTGCTATGTCTTTTGGTATTATTTCTCACTGATGTAAGCACAGACTACATTACACATTTATGAGGCAGTAATACATGCTGCAAATAAACTTGGGAACCAATACAAATCTTCTACTGGATTTTGCTGATCAATCCATGCAAGAGCCTCCTTAACCATATGATCTAGTGCCTTTTGGGCACGTTCACTCTCCCACCTTAGCTGATCACGAAGCAGAGATATTGACACATGAGCTGTACCACTACTGGCTGCTTGCTGCAACACTGCAGTGTGATCCATACTTAGTTCACCTGGCACTGACTGTACCAAGTACTGACCTTTCCCTACTGGTAAGACAGAGAAACCACTACCGAATATTCTCAGTTTCTGTGCTGCACGTAATAAGTCGTCTATTGATATTTCTTGGTGTTGTTTATTTCTGCCTCGAGCTTGTATTAATCGTTGCCGCAACTCATCCAGGCTAATAAGCCCACCGTTCTTATAATTCGTTGCAAGGCACACCTCAACAATTTGTACACTCAGTTCGTAATAAAAATCACCTATGCCAAGAACTGACCAAAATCCTTTTCCGGAAGCCAAGGGGTCAACGCCAATAGCTGCACACATTTCCTGGAACTGCCGTCTGAACTGTGCGTTTTTACGTATTTCTGTTTTGTGTTTCGATGCAAATTCTTCTAGATTACCTCGAAATACTTCCAACTGTTTAGACATTTGTTCCAATTGACTTTCCTGAAGTTCGGTGCCTTTATCCTTATATTTCTCCTGTTCCAACTTCTGCTTTTGGATCGCTCCAACTCCTGCTCTGCGTCTCATCTTATATGGGTAAATTCTTTTGTTGAGTGTCCTGTGATAATACTTCCACGATCTTCTATGTACTAAAATCAGGAGAACCACAATAAATAACTTAATTAAATAATATTAGTCCAGTCACATAATAACCTCAACACAATACACCATTTGTTTTTATTTTTGGCACTAAGTTCACAAAGCACTGATTCTGACGCATGGCATGATCTGCTGCTTCGGATCGCTTCGAATCACGTACATTAACTCGACTACGGTTACAGACTTCAGCCTCAACCCCTATAGTTGCTACACCTTAGTGAATTAGTGAACGATGAAGATGGTCTTCGCAAGGTTTGCAAGACGGAAAACTCATTGTATTAGTTGAATAAGTGTGACAGAAAAAGAGACGCTGAGCTCATTAATAGCGGAATTGTATCAGTCTCTATGGTCTCTGATGAAGAAAAATATTGCTAAATTATTCATTTACACAGAATTTCTGGGTTAATTGAGTTAATAGATGTCTCTACTAGTATGTCAGGCGGCACTAAATTTCCTCAGATAGCAGGTCACTCTGCCGATGAGTGATATTGCCCATATTGCCTGCCCTGTATGCCCAGAATGCATCTTGTTTTGATTGGTTCTGCGTGTATTTCAAACGGATTTTGGCAATTTAAATGGTATGAGACATTTTACGACGCTGTTAGCATTTCGGGTGGTCAGTGTTTCAGATATATAGCGCCAGGATAGAAGTGTCTTTTTACCAATGGTTTAACAATAAGATTGCAGATTTGATCACGTACTTCGTGAATTTGCCAAGTTTATGAGGTGTCGTGCAACGTGAAATTTAATGTTGCTCCTGTAATATTTATTTATTTTTGATAGGTTTTTAGTACAATGGAAGAAAAAGAAAGTGGAATCTGCTTTGAGGTAAGTTACTACATGCAGAAAGTAATTTTAGAGATACGTATTTATGTAGAAATGCGAGGAATGATATCTAAGTTGGAAACATCNCCCCCCCCCCCAATATTTGATATTCTAGCCGAAACTTGTACATCAGCCATATCCCTTATTTGAATAGTTCGTTCTTAGATGATATTCCAAGAGCTTACTTTTTAACTTTGGTCGTTACAATTTCGAATCATAACAATCCATGAGCAGGAATATAAGCACACTGCTTTTCGATTTTATTTCGAGATAAAGTGTTCGGATGGTTTAGGGACAGGAAAGTGTTAATATTTTAAATTTGTTTAAGTAAAAGATTACTACCTTTTCTTATCTCCAAAAGAACAAGCAAAGAAATATTTGAACACTGAAATTGAACCCTCAAAAACTTTTATCTCTGTTATCAGTGTTGCAGACGATTTTTTATAATGAAGAATTATTAAGAGCAATTTCTTGTCTAGCCTGTTGTACTTTTTGAATTCAGTTTTATTTGTCTGCCTACCCAACACGTGGAGAAAATGCTTCATCACTTGTTTTATGTTTCATGGCAGATGCAGATACATTTCTTGGCCTCCATTTATAATTAATTTGTGTTATTCCCTCAGGTTAAACCACAACTTGCACCAGTATAAAACACATGTGTTCATAAATTTAAAATCGGAATTTCCTTGAGTTAAACCTGATACCAGTTAATGGTTCAAGCATTGTCAAATGAACTTGCAACATGTTTTAACTGAGACTTGAAATTTATAATTTTAATTTTATCCTGCCAGTTAGTTAGTCAGTTAGTTACTCAGACTTTTCTTAGATATGAACAAACTTTTTTCTATAGGGCCTCTCTCTTTTTTGTTTTGGATGTCTGCATTATGAAGTCTGTTTCCTAGAAATGTACAGAAGAAAAGCACTACAGTAAATCAGAAGATCTACATTCAGAATTACTCAAGTACTGCCATCAATAATATTTCTATAGACAAATCTAGTAAGGTAAAGGTAGGGCCGCGCCATAGCTCAAGCGGTTAGTCGCTGGCTTCCCACCGTGGTGGCCCGAGTTCGATCCTGGGTCTGGTCAAGAGGGATTTGTGGTGGACAAAGTGGCGCAGGGGCAGGTTTTCTCTGAGTACTTCAGTTTCCCCTGCCAATCTTCATTCCACCAATTGCTCCACAATCACCCTCATCTATCATCTGGGGCTGGTACAATAGGTCAGAAGTGGCTGCAGTACAAAGGGACTTAGTCCCAAGCCACTAACAATAAAAAAAAAGGTAAAGGTAAAGTTGTCCCTGTGCTTAACTAATTAAGCACTACACCATGAAGGCATATGGAGGAGGGATGGATGTATAGATCCACATTTTATTAATCTTAGCACTAGTTGGAGGTGAGTGGTCAGCTTGACGCCCCAACCACTTTACCCCTGGGGAAAGAGCCTGCGGTTCCCATTGTACAGGAGGCTGGGAGGGCCCCAGAGCTGGTCTGGATGACATGGAGAAGTGAAAATTCTTGACCCTATTGGGACTTGAACTCTGACCTTTTGGTTGTCCAACCCATAGCCAATCTCTATACTGACTGCTCTATCCTGGCCCCCAGACAACTCTAGTGAAAATTGTATTTTAATTAAAATCAGTGATTACATGGCTGTATGATTATGGTGCTCAAAATATAGAATTGATTCCAGTTGATCATAATCGCTACAAAAATATGAACTTATAAGGAACACTGTTAAAGAATTTACAGCATATGATTAATGGAAATTGTGAGTCAGTGTTAAGCAGTCATTATGTAAATACAAAATTTACCATATTCCTAAGACATCTTAAGAATTTCTGAAGCAAGTTGCCTCACCAAAACCACGTAAGATGTTTGAAAATAATGAATGGCTATCAAAAGAAACATCTTCAAGTCATTAAAGAGGCCAAACCTGTGCATTACCATAAACAGATATTAGAGTCATAATAAAGTAAAGCAATCTGGAGAATTGAAGAATGAGGAGGAAACAGAAAAAGGCACTCCATGAAAAAGAAAAATAACATAACAGAAATTCCTAAACTCATGGCAAATCTCAATATTCAACATCTTCATAGATATAGACACAATGAACAGCAACACAAGAAACTTAACAACAGAAGACATAGCAAAGTACCTACCTTAGTAATCCCTAAAAACTTTTAACTAGCTAAGCAACTAACTAACTAGGTAGCTGACTAAAAACTTCATGGACCTGAGGCCTTCTTAAGAAGCTGCCACATGTGCACCTACTCAAGAACTTCCGAATATTTTATAGAACCCAAAGGTTCATTACCATATTCACAAGAGTCTCTTCTGGTCCCTATCCTGAGCCAGATCAATCTAGTCTACACCACTCCATCCCATCTCTCTAAGATCCATTTTAATATTGGCCACCCACCTATGTCTTTATGTCTTGGTCCTCCTAGTGGTCTTTTTCCTTCTGGTTTTCACACCAATATCCCATATACATTTCTATTCCCCTCATTTGTGATACTTGCCCTGCCAATCTTATCCACCTTGACTTGATCTTTCTAATTATATTGGAGAAGAGTATGAGTTATGAAGCTCTTCATGCAGTTTTCTCAAACCTCCTGTCACTCCATCTCACTTTGGTCTAAATAGTCTCCTCAGCACCCTGTTCTCAAACACCCTCAGTCTATTGTTCCTCTGTTAATGTCAGAGACCAAGTTTCACACCCATACAGAATGCAAGTAAATTCTGTACTTTTGTGTATTTTAATTTTTACGTGTTTAGGCATGAGATGAGAAGGCTAAAGATTCTGGACTGATTACCCATATTCAGTCTCCTCTTAATTTCCTCCTGAATCAAATTTTGGTTTTTTTTTCTTCTTTTACTGTCGTTCCCGAATATTTGAACTGTGCCACATTTTCAGAGGAACTGTTAGCTATCTTTACTTCATCATTTTGCCCCACATTTGGGTGACGAGACAACAACGTTTTTGGTTTTCTGTGAGTTTACTTCTAGATCAACCTCTGTACTAATGTTATTTAAAGTTTCTGTGTTTGTCTTTATGGTATCTGTGTTATCTCCCAGGAGATTCACATCATCAGCATAGCCCAGCAGCTGATGTTTCCTATTTAATTTCAGTCTTCCCTGAACCTTCCTAATGGCATATTCTAATTCAGAGTTGAGAAGTGGCAATAAACCGTCTCCTTATTTCAGACCATATTGGATAGGAAAATTATCAGACAAATGTTTACCTGTATGGACTTCACTATACATTTGGACACTGATCAGTAGCCATCATGACAAGGACCGTACAGATTCAGCAACATCAGAGGACGCAGAAAAACAGTGAGACCTCCAAAAAGTGAAAAGTGCAATATAATAAAATTGAACTTTAATTCATGAACTTTTTAACCAATAATATAATTAAAACTAGTTAAAGTGAACTTGACGCAGTGATGAGTGTAAGTAGGAAGTGACTGTATAAGTGAAAGTGAAAGCACACTAGTGATCTGAATTGAAATTCGATTCGCAAATTTTAAATTTTAACTTTTGACATTTAGAATAATATTTTAACTTGTGTTTTGTGAGAGGAACTTGATATATTATTGAGCGTGAGCCTGAATAAGATACAGGATCGAATAAGTGAGAAGACGAATGTGATTGCGTGTAATTATACAGCTGTACACCTGAGGATGACCTCTTGAGGTCGAAACATGTAGTGTAATAATAATAAAAATATGTTGTGTGGTCGGTAAAGTTGACTATAATATTAATAATATAAAACTGTTAAGCCATTGTTAGAAGAGTATTTCCTGTCTTGCTCCTACCCTTTCTACAGAAGAAATCCTCTTAATCAGTGATAGATCTTGGGTGTAATTATTTTGGTGTAATACTGTCCCGTCAGATATCTCCATATGTACTGACATGTTCTGCATCCTTGGCTTGTGCCTGTGAAGGATCTCAAGAATGCATGTAGATTGTGTGATGCTGTAAAAAGTGACAGGCCCAAATGTTTCATTCAAATGGTTAGCCCAGATTCATATTGTGTGATGCTGTAACAAGTGACAGGCCCAAATGTTTCATTCAAATGGTTAGCCCAGATTCATATTGTGTGATGCTGTAACAAGTGACAGGCCCAAATGTTTCATTCAACTGGTTAGCCCAGGTTCATATTCACTGATGCCATAAGCTGAGATGAGTTGTAGGCATTTCCACAGAGTATAATATTCAGAAGTATTTTTCACTGTCTGTACTAACCCACCCCACCCAACAAAAGAAAAAGCATCTTCCATGTATACAGGGTGTCCCAGGAGGAATAGACCAAACTTCGGGAGGGTGTTCCTTATGTTAAAGTATGCCGATATAACCCAAAACACCTATGTCCAAAGTTGAACGGTTACGGAGATAATGGCCCAAGAAAAGTGTGGTCTTCTGGCAGGTCCACGCACTGTACCTCGCAGCTGAGAGGCCTTATCTATGTTTGTCCTTGAGTGTGATGATTCACCCTAGCCGTGCTTATGTAGTTGGCTTATACCACAACGCGCAGTCAGCACGTTACGTCAGCGCTTGCCATTCATGTGTCATGTATAGTGCTTGGAAACCCTAAGGACAATTATGACATGGCGAGCGAGTATTTTGTACTTCAATTTTATGGCTTCATGTCACTCACAAGTTAGTTTGATGTTACGTACATTATTAACATTACAGAATCCACATATTCCTGCCAGTTTTAATATGTATTTTGTAATCAACAAGTGTGCAACGCCGGTCAAAGTTTGAGACTTCTCTGGCCATTATCTCCGTAACCGTTCAACTTTGGACATAGGTGTTTTGGGTTATATCGGCATACTTTAACAAAAGGAACACCCTCCCGAAGTTTGGTCCATTCCTCCTGGGACACTCTGTATATGCTTCCTCAGATTGAAAAACCCTTCTCTCTGCAAAGAGGTTAGTCATTTTCTTGCAACTCTCATGACTCCACTACATATGTTGTGAAATCTAAGTAAGCTATAGGAAATACACACTTTCTTAATTATTTGCAGATTACATAAATGTAGGACTAAACTCACTAGCCAAAGAAATTGGCTCATCTCATATGTTGAATTTATCTGCAAATATTTCAAGACCAGGACAAGTAACACCAATACAAACTGCTTGTCAAGGCCGGGTGTGACTATAGGTTAGATGATACTCATACCTTATGTACAGAATGCAGTTAATTTTTGTAAAGTGCAAAAGTAATGATACTGGATTTTGGAACTAGTGCAGATTTAAAAAATGACAAGGTATTAGTTTTATACAAAACTGGGTTCCATCAATGAATTGCTCTTTATGTAGTTGGTTTAATGGAAATATTTTAAGTTTGAAATGTAATTATAATTTAGTTTGGAAATCGGTTATAATCTTTTTATTCATTTCCTTTTAAACACCAACATTTCACATTTCATTTTAGGTGAAAATAACACCAGAATCACGAAGGAAACCAAAAACTGAAGATCAAGATAAGGATGTTGTTCTTGTCTTGGCTCCTTTCAACAAAATTCCAAAGCTGTTCTTTCAGAATGTCAAAGTAGGAACGTCAGAATTACAGCACATCATAATAAGAAACCCTAATGATTCAAGAATTGAGGTATGCCAGTTTCTCTTTATATATATATATGTCCACATGCATATTTATGGTTTTCATGAAACTTCTTGGGAGGGCAGCTCTACCCTTGTTATAATTTTTATAATGTATATGGCATATGTAAAACAAAATAATAATCTTTTATGATTTATTTGGAACATGTAAAAATGTAATGTAAGATTTATAGTGAGGTTATGCAACATTTCTAAAAGTGTAAACATCTTTCTGTACTTTAGGTTTAGATTAATTTACCATCCAAATTGTAATTAAACTGTATGTTGTCTTGAATGCAGGTTTAATCTGACTGCCATACATCCAAGCTCATTATCAGAGTACACCACAACAGCCTGAATTTTAGTTCTGTTGTATGACATGAAATTGAGTTTAATTTGTGATTTGTCATGTGTCCTATATCTTTTCTTTTTTACATAATGTTAAAAGATACTTTTAGCTACCTTTCAATACATCGACTGTTGTTATGATTTTTTAAATGAATTGTTTGTATTTCATTGAAGTTATAATTATGTGCCTTTAATTTTTCTTCTAACTCTAGGTACAACTAGATAGGCTCCCTCCAGAGGAACGTGGTCTTATTTTTAGTGCTGTAAAATTTGGAGTGGAAGCACATGAAAGCGTACAGCTTGATGTGACATGGACACCCTCTAAAAGTGAATCATGGCATCATGCAGTTCAAGTAAAAAATAGCCACCATCTTCGATTGGATATTTCAATTTCTTGCACTTCTGTGAATCCACAGAAGGTAACAAGTTGCTGATTGTTAATTATATGAAGAATAGATTTAATCTTCTTGTCCAAGGGCATGATAATGTTTCTATGTAAGTTGTCATTGTGGCCATAGTGATCAAAAACAGTCTTGTTTTCTTACACTATGCTAGCAATATCGTCTGCAGAGTTGATTAACTTCTGGATGCATGACTAGATCATACAGTATATCAGCAATTTTCTTTTCGCATATTGGTTTCAGCTGTGATTTAAAATATTTTGTTGCATGCACATGTGTTTTTGCAAAAGAGTGAAATAACAGGGTAAGTCTTGGCTTACAGTCTTCCTAAATAGAGTTAGGAGCGAGTTAATGTAAGTACCTTTAACAAACTGTTATGTTTAAAAGTATGGTTTTGTTATGTATCTAGTAGAAGTAACAATAAGGGAACAAATAATGACTAATTTATGAATATTAAATATGGTATAACCAAAAATATTTTAATTCTAATGCTATTCCTGAGCTTTTTGTTTTGAAAAACATTATATTAGGCTATGAGGGTATCAAGTATTATCACATGTTACTGACTAGACATGGGGTTTTAATTGGTAATTAGATATATTGAACATGTATAACACATAACTATGTGTAATGGCATCGATGATTTACACATTTTATAAATCACTACTCCAAACATTAAGGCTTCTTTGTCTTCACCAGGCATTGCTAGATAACAGCTCCCAACAATTAATATTACTCTGTAGTTACTATAGGATTCTGACGATGGTGTATAACACACTGATATGTTGGGCTTTTGGACTTTATCCATCGTCCTGGTTTTTAAGATAACAAATAAAAACACGACGTTTCGGAAACTGGATCTGTTTCCGTCCTCAGGTGAAGGAAAACACCTATTCAGTTGGGTCTGTTAGAAAGAGCTAGCCTCAATCAGGTCCAGTGATTGAGGCTAGCTCTTTCTAACGGACCAAACTGAATAGGCATTTTCCTTCACCTGAGGACGGAAACAGATCCAGTTTCCGAAACGTCGTGTTTTTATTTGTTATCTTAAAAACCAGGACGATGGATAAAGTCCAAAAGCCCAACATATCAGAATATTACTCTGCTTCCATCATGTCCTTGCTGGGTGGTCGTTGTCTAGCAATGACCATCCCTTCTGGCTCTCACTCTTCTGCCTTTCAGGCGTTATGGCATGGTATGAATTCTGGACTCCATTAAACATTAAATTCTCATCTTGTGTGTTTTAACACTGTAGTTTCATAGGTGCTCACCAATATTTCAGATGAACATACTACCTCCTACTTATGATAGAAGAATATGTCCTGACAATGGAGGCAACAGGTTGCACCAAAACCTTGGTAATCACCTATGAAACTATACAGGCAGTAACCTGAGGACCACAATCTAAATTTTTACCATTGTTAAAATCTCAACTGTCATCCAGTAGCCACTTAACAAACGAGGCATGATCTCTGTCCAGTTTTAAATTTACACATTGAATGATCAGTCATTAAGCAGCAATATACTTCTAGTACTGGCATATATTCATCTCAGATGTGACAGTCCATATTTTTATAATCTATATACACTTGTGTACATAATAAATGAAACGCCTGTCTATTCTGAAGTAACTGAAGTTTGTCTGATATGCTTAATTCATTTTCCCAGTACACAGTATATTCACGGTTGCATACTAAGGTATGTTAATATTGTATAAGCTCTGAAATAATTATCCGGAATCAAGATAAATTATTGTTTGAATGTTCATTTGAAGTCATATTTACTCGTTCCTTAGCTCAGGTATCAATGATTATTAGTAAGAACGTTATGACATGGGCCAGCAAAACTCCAGGTCTGAAATACAGCTCTCAGTGACAGTGAATATTTTTTAATTTCTCTAAATTACATATATTAAGGTACAACAGCAGAACTGAACACATTTCCATATGCAGGACATAATACTGCATTGATGCTAATTGTACCTATTATTGCATGTTTCAATGACTTTATGATGGCTGATCATCCATGTCTCAGTCAAACTGAAGTTCCAAAACTGTGAGCACAGTCATCCAAAGAATCCCCATTCTCATAATGCAAAGTTTGTATGTACTACACAAAAAATTATACATACTGTTTCCTTTTAACAAAATCACCTGATATTTATGATCACTATATACCAAGAGCAAAGAAAAAATAATATGGATTCTTCCAGTGTTCTGAGAGGCCCTCTTCTAGCAGAATTCATGAAAGTTAAGTCCTTATGTCGTTGAGGACTGTAATTATAGTATGTCTACAAATATGGATTCTCCAGTTCAGAAGAAAGATAAAGATAATATTGTATTGTAGCATCCTCTTGCACTTTTCACTTGCGTCAATTATTCACCATCTTACATGCAACATTATGTTCCACAAAACTTATCACCTATACAGGTTTAAAGCTTATAAAGTTTTTAAAATATACTACATGTTTCAGCCAACATGGCCATCATCAGGTGTTAAAAATATATCTAATGAGGAAATCGCTGCTTTCACGCATCAGACACAACGAAGAACACAACAGGGAGGATCATAACACACCAAACACAACACACACACACACATGTATTAGAGGGACTGCATATGCATCAGCAACAAGTGAAAGCAATGATTTCCTCATTAGATATATTTTTAACACCTGATGATGGCCATGTTGGCTGAAACATGTAGTGTGTTTTAAAAAATTGATAAACTTTAAACCTGTAAAGGTGTTAGGTTTTGTGAAACCTAGTGTTGCACGTAAGACGGTGAATGATCAATGCAAGAAAGATAAAGGAATAATTAATGTTGTGTACTTTTAATATGAATCTTCGTGATAAACATCATTGCAAAATACATTACCCTTTAATTTGCATTGTTTTAGGTCTCATTTCAACATGTTTATGCATGTGGCAACCCTCATCTTAAACAGATAAAGATGAGGAATTAGACCTATAAAATCTGAAATAAAGTAAACTAAACAAAATGTTTTACGTATTTATTTATAACCCTGTGTTGGCTTGGACCATGCATGGAATCCCCATTTTCTGTCATTTCTTGCAAAAAATAGCTTTTGAATAACACATTTTTAATTGACATAATTTTTCAGAAATGCATCTACCATGCAAGTCAAGGAATGACTGCACAAAGTTTTGAAGAGTTTCAAATTTACCTAATCTGAATATCAATGCGTGGTCAGACACAGAAAAAAAAAGACTGTGCCTGTATCTTGTTATATTTAACAAACTGAGAAAATCAACTAGGATATCCTTCAGAATAGTTCCCTTCTGAGTTTACAGACAGCTGCACGCGATGCTGCCAACATCCAAAGCAATTCTGCAGATTATTTTCTGAAAGGCTGTATAGGATGTCATTTTTGCTTTTTACATATTTTACCGACAAAAAGTGGGTTCCTTTGAGCACTGACATGATTTTTGGGAAGAGGAAGAAGGCACAGGTCTGGCGAATAGAGTGGGTACTCCATCAAAGTGATGTTGTGATTAGCTAGAAACTACTTCACAGGCAAAGCATTGTGGGCTGGCATGTTGGCTTGGTGCAAAATCCAACTGTGTCTCCATAATTCCGGTCATTTCCTCCTTATGCTTTCACACAATTTTGTCAACACTGCTGATTTACCGTCTGGTGGCTGGGAACCCACTCTGCCATTACAATACCTTGGATGTCGAAGAAAACAATCAACATGGCCTTGAACTTCGAAAAACTCTTGTGTGCCTTTTTTGGTCTTGGAGGTGTTGCTGACTCCCACTGCATTGATTGTCGCTTGGTTTCTGGATAATACATAAATGTCCAAGTTTCATCACAAGTAATCGCCGAATTCAACAAATCTGGTTCATCCTTAATGCACTGCGAAAGGTCCAAACATAGTTCCTTCTTTTTGTTCATCTGACAACATTTTTGGAACCATTTTTGCACAAACCTTTTTCATGTTCAATTCTTTCATTAAAATGTGTCAAACACTTTCCCTGTCCAAATGAACTTTCTTAGCTACAGCTTGAATACCCAACCTTCTGTCTTTTCAAATCATATCCTGCACTTTTTTAATGTTGTCATCAGTAACTGCTTTGCATAGCAGCCTCCGTAGTCTAGGGGTAACGTTCCCACCTCGTGACTCAAGGTATGCGGGTTCAAACCCGGTGGAGGTCGTGGAATTTTTAAGGGCGGAAAAATTCAGGGAAGAAGTCCTCCGGGAGGGACTTTAAGACATGGGTCCCATGTCGTAGCTTTACGGCACGTAAAAGAACCTCATGTCCCAAGGGGACAACTGAGTCAAATTCAGGACATTTCCCACCCATCAGTAGTCTCTAACGCCTCTGGTAGATGGGGGAAGCATCGAGACACCGCTGAGCCAGTAGAGGCCGAACTCGCTGGCTGAGTCGGGACTGATGGCACACACCAGTACCGGTAGGGAATACAGACTGGGTAGAATATCATAGGGGGACGCACAATGGACCAACAGTTGGTCTAAGTGCATGGGGAAACCAACCCTCTCTAAATATAATACAACTGCTGTGCATGGGTGGCCTGGGCGATCATCATCTTTTGCACTTTCTCATTTGTGCTGTTGAAAAGCATGTGCACAGGACATACACTCTTAACCATAAGCCTCAGTCAATAACTGAAAAGTTTCTGTCATGGATTTCTTCAGTTTCATAAGAAACTTGATGTTAACTCGCTGTTCACTCTTGCACTTCAACATTTTCTGACTGAAGATAACAAAACATTGATATTTTGATATTTGAACAGGTGTCCACTCATACTGAGTAAAGGTATGGAGTTGAGTGTTGTCAGGTTTGCTCCATAACCATCTCTTTGTTTCTCCCCTCCCACTCTCAGTTCCCAAGCTGTAGGGTTATTCTCCTTTTTTGTTGTGTCTGACCACGTACAGTATTAGTAACAAATAAATGATCTGGAATCTGTAATTTAACTTCTGGTTTTAGACTGCAAATGTTATAAAATGATTGTTCATTATGTTTTTCTTTCTGCATCATTTTTTATTTGTTTTCTTTTTTTAGGCAGTGAAGAGAAATGTGAAACCATTGAAAGTTCGGAATACTTGTTTACATGCCTCACTGACAGCTAAAAAGAGTGGCGTAAAACATCTTTCGCATTCAAAGAGTAAAGTTTGTTATGGAATAAAGAAGAAGGCTCAGTGTGTTGACGGGTCCTACCAGACAAATCTCAATACAAATAAAAATCAAATGAAACAGAGGTACAATATATCAAGTGAACAATTTACTCCTGTTAAAGATAATAGGCTACCACCCTGTTCAGTTCTGTCCACACCAACTCGTCGAGAGACTTATCTTGTTAGCCAAGAAAAAGGGGAAGGAAATAAAGAAAATGCAGAATGTAAACAAGTGAAACAAAGAACAAAATCAGATAACGTTTATGGACCTGTTGACTGTAGACCGAGACAGTTAAGAAAATATGAATATTCATCTACTGTTCAGAATGTACCTCCTGTGTTAAGCACCCCTCCTCAGCAGAGGAGCATGTTTGATGAAGGAAATGCAGAAGTTAAATTAAATACTTCAACTTGTGAGAGCCATCCAAAGGAAGGTTCACTCTGCACTGTTGGAAGGAGGAGAATTACAACAGAAACTATCACAGATTCACCACCAAATCATAATAAGAATTTTCTAGATATGTTGAGTTCTTTGAGTTTCACACCAACACCTTCAAGGTCAAAGCAAGAACACATAGCAGTTATACCTAATGTGCAGTATTCTTCTCCTGAAGTTAACCTGCTTCCACCCTGTAATGTATCACCCACTCCAGATCGTAGACAAACATATTTAATTCCACCTGATTCCAAATTTGAAAACAAATCTGAAATGAAAAATTTTGAGGAAATTCTGTTTAGAACAAGAAGGGTTAGATATGTGAACTCAACTTCCTCTAGGATGCGACTGGAATCTGATGAGTTTAATGACAGCTTGGAAGCACAGGATGATGTTTTTCAGGAAGAAATTATTGGAGGAAGTGGAACAGAGAGATGGTCTGAGTGGCAAAAGCATCATTTCTCCAAATCAGAGGGCAGCTCAGAAGGATCAGCAGGGACACATTATGAATCTGTGTGCAAAACACCCAGAAGTAAAATCCACAGCACTGGCCTAACACCACAATTTGAGGAACTTAACTTCAGCACCCAGAATTTCATTTCATTTCTACCTGGATCCCCAGCTGATTTCTCTCTGTTACCACCAAGTGAAGATACCCGTAGGTGTTCCACTGTTATAAAAAAAATGGAACCAATGCTTTATGACTCAGCTTATAATGCAGTACGTAAAGACCTCTTTTCTACTGATTTAGTGGAACGTGTGGCTAGTAACTCAGTTTCTCCTGATGTGAATCATCTAAGCTTGGGGTCTTTTGTGAAACCTGAATCAAAATTTGCTGATGCTAATTTCCAGTATTCAGATATAATCTACCAAGAATTGGTAAGACAAGACAGTAGTTATCAACTGCAAGACGACAGAAAAAAAACTCACACTTCCTTGGGCCTGAAAGAAAATAGTGCACAAAGTGTTATAGAAGCAGATTTGTGGGTACAACAATCAAATATAGAAAAGTCATCAACAAAGGCAGCAGTTAGTGAAAATCCTAATAATTCAGACACCATTGCAGAAGAAAGTAAATTTGTTTTCTTGCCTAAGGAAGAGAAATCAGAAGAACCTAAGGAAAAATCTGCACTTCATGTACAGCAGTTTAAAAAATTTGAAAGCGATGAATCTGGAGGAGTCTTTCTAGAAATTTCACCCCCAAAGAGACAGGTGTATTTTACATGTAGCAGTACAATAAAAACAGATTCTGTTCAAAAACAGAAAACATCTCGAATCACTGGATGGTCAAAGACTTCTGTTAAAAGCAGAAATTATCCATATTTAAACGTAACTCAAGGTAAAAGTGAGCCACATAATTCAGTGAACTGCTATTTAAATTATAAATTATAACGATAATCCAATGTTTTTATTATTTTTGCTTTCTGACTTTCCATAGGTTCATCTTGTCAACTTGGTTGCACAGCAAGCAATCTGACAGGGAAAAAGCGCCCATTTCAGGGAATTAAAACCAATGAAATATTCAATAAACGGCGTATTTTGAGTGATGGTAGAATTCACAGCCAAAGTGGCAGGAGCAAGATTCCAAGAGGTTTGAACAAACACAATAAACTGTTGCTACATTCTATGGTAAAACTTATCAGTCCCAGCCTTTGTTCTTATGGCCTCTGCAATACAAAGAGCATAAGCATGGCATTTTAACTGAATCATATTATCTTTCTCATACAGTGAGCTGAATTGCCTTTTGAAGAGGAACACTTGTTCTTGTGTGATGCATTTAGGTCTCAAAATTGTTATGGAATCTCTTGAAATGTTTTTCTAACAGAATGAGGATTGTAGCTAGCATTTTTCAAGAAAGCACTTGTAACACTGATTGCTCCTGGTCCTTTCCATGTTGCTTCCTGCTGGTGATTTTTTCACATTAGATAACTAACCCACATTTCATATATCTATAAAAACTGCATTTGGAAATTAAATTATGATTTTTGAATCCCAGTTAGGCATTGGCTGTATTATAAAACGTACACTAACACAATAAGACGTGTTTTCTACAGAAATCACCAAACAAAAATTAGCATTTGATTTGTTTCATTCTGGTCCATCACACTAACAATATTATGAAAGATAAAACAATTCCGTCCAGTGTGACTGGACATGAAGAATTGAAATAAGAAAATCTTCACCAGTCACACTGGATGGAATTTTTTTATCTTTTATAAAAATAAACATTTTTCTAAATCTGAATATTTGCATTATTTGTGTCTTCACAGCTTGCTTTGAATTAAATTTCTTGAATTTTAATACTGCAGGTGATTTCATAATACCATAAAACCATAAGAAATGTTTTTCTTCACTTTGAACTTTCTTCCTGTTGCTGTTCATTTTCTCAAGTATATTCAGACGTTTTTCACTTAACTGATTAACAATTAACTCAGTTCCAAGGGCATAGTTAGCTGCTCTGTCATAATGGATATACCATGTCTCCAATACCTTTTCAAGTTTGCTAATATTTTATCTTGTCATAAACAGATGGCAGCATTATGCTTTGTTTTATTTTGGCCAAGGAATGCATTTTATTTACCAATATTTACTCTGAAGTTGTCTAAAAATAAGAAATACTACTATTGAACTTGCTACGATCTAAATGCAGGTGCAAGGATAGGCACAGTACCATTTCTAGAAGTCTTCAGTCACTTGTCCATGGATACATGGCTACACTGGTATAGTAGTTGAAAAATGAAAGAGTTTTTATTAAAAAATAAACTCAGTCACTCATATGTGATACGCACACTACAGAGATTAACGAACATGCCTGAGTTTAAGCAAAATGGCGATCGTAATGCAAGAAAATATAAAAATGTAAGCATTGTTAAGTTCTTCCTGGAAGTTCTTGTTCCACCCATGTTCTTTGATTGATGCATTATGTAATAACTACAAAATTTTGTTGGCCATACTAGCTGTTGTTTCTGTTCCTAATAGGTGCATCTGTTCAACGATGTCTCAGAAGAAGTATGTCATCTTCTATACCCCGAACAGCATTTACCAAGCTAACCTTGCCAACAACCAAGAAACAAAATGAAGAAGCTGTCCAACTTCACAATCCTGATGCTGTTCTTAACAAACTGGCAAATCCTGGTCTTTTTGTAGCAACCAATACATCTGAGCCATTTACTACATATTCTGTGTACTATGATGAAGAATGGATGGTCCAGCAAGAGAAGGAGTTCACCAAGTGGCTCAACTCTCTGCTGACTCCACCTGAAGGACTCAACAGCACAACTGCCCTTCCCAAAGGTTGCTAACTTAATATACAACAAGAAAAGTACCCATTTCTAGGCATGTTCACAACTTTGCAGAATTCCTTGGTTATTGGGGTGTTTAAATACAGTTTGTTGATACATTCCAATTTTTGTTAAAATCAGACAAACTGGCAGCACATTTTCTGTGAGTGTCTTAAGCATAATGGACAAAATATTTATCAGAGTGAAATATGTTTCAAACAAAACTTGTAGAGAGAAATGAAATGCACTATAATTTCCTGTAAGTCCTATAGTTCTCAAGATAATTAAAAGGAACAGTGCATTTGAAATTTTATATGTTCAGCAATCAACAGGGATCTTCCAAACTCATGCGAAGATTAGCAAACTTTTGTAAGCATGAGATGCTATCATTGTCATTGTGTAATATCAGGTTGGTTATCATAGCAATGAATTGCCAGTCATTAACATGCTGTGTGTGAACATTAGTCATGTAATAGGTCACAACCAACATGGTTGCTGTGATAACATGTGGGGTTAGTTCCATTCAATATAGTAACGTTGTGGTAGATATTTTATTGATTACTTTTATTAGGGTACTGTTTGTTAGAAAATGGGAAGTGGCAATACAGCAAGCATGCAAGCATATGACATAATCTTTGTATGATGATAAGTGACAAATATTATGTTTTTTACTAATACAAGATATTAATTTTTAAGTACCATATACCAGGATTTCATCATTCCAGCATCTAAGACAGCCATGTTCTAATTGAGATGCTGTATTGTAAAATTATGATTTGGAGAAAATGCTGTTAATTTTTCTCTTTTGAACTTGATGCAGATCCTTCATAACAAAATTAAAATGTTATCATAAATGTCTAAAAGTACCTCCCACTGGCCCACTTCTTTCATAAATTCAAGGAAGTACTGAGTGGGCCTCTTATTCATAGTCCAGTTCCACGTTATAATGGAACTGAATTTATCATCACTTTTCAGATAACAGTTGATTACATTGTAAGTGTTCAAATATTTAATTGTAGTTTCAATGTGGTAACAAGCAAAATATCCAGGAAGTAGCATATAGTTTAATTAATCTCCTTCAAACATCTACATTTTAGTGAATGTGACAGAACTATGGATTCAGAGCTGTCGCAAGCAGGATGTAGTCCCTGCCCCAACTCGAGAGACACTGTCTTCTCAATACCACACTCACCATCGCCTGGATGCTTTGCGCAAGGCTGCATGCGCATTGTTCCGTTCACAAGAGGTTGCTCAAGTACTGTCCAAAGTTGCAGTACACATTGACAAGAAGTTGATAGCTATTCGCAGTGACCGGGATCTTCATCTTGACTTTGGTATGTAAGAAAGCTAACTGAGTTAGCATTTTAATTATTATAAAACATGTCCACTTATATATGGTACAATTTAAAGCTTTGCTATATTTAGCAGTAACTAGGAAAAAGGAAGAAACACAAAATGGAAGATAAGGTCTGTTAGTTCATCAGTGCAGCTATTGTAGTTCAATGAGTCACATTTTACTCTCCAGGCATCTGAGAGGTACTTGAATACTTACCAAACCCAAATGAGCACATCAGCAGTACAGATTCAACTGCATTTCTGATTCTTTTGTTTAAATCATAAAAGTCGTTCATTTTGAGCATGTATTCATATACCACTTGTTGTACTTAGCTTCCAATGTAAATATGTGGCAAAATAGCATCTTCACTTCCCCTGTTATAATTACACTTCATTGCTCGATTGTTCTGAAACATCTAATATATTTGTACTGGCCTCAGAAAGAAGCCCTTTATGGATGGAGTTGATGATGATACTTTGAGCCTCCCACTTTTTGTGTATTCTCTTTCCTTCTGGTCTGTGTAAGCCAGTCCAAAGTGCTTTCAGCTGGTTATCATTATCAGTATTTCTATGGACGGAATGGCTAAATGACTGGAGACAAATATAGGAAAGTACACTGGAAGGGTTAAGCATAACAGCTCAAGGAAAATGTGAAGAGGGCCTGTATGGCCTCAGTATTTCATGACAAATTTTGCCAATCACATTACGTTGATGATCATAAAAATTCACTATGATACTTGTGTAAGCCTTCGTAAAATGTAAGAACAAGCCTGATCAAGAGAAATCACAATATTTTAAAGTCTACTGGTATAGCTAGTTTGATATTATTCTAAGAGATGGCAGAATGTGGTGATTTTTATATTTTCCTGCAGTCAGTGAATACAATCACGTGTTACTACCAACAGGACTGTCATGAATGTATCCAAAGGTTCCTGGATGCATGGGTTCTCTATAATATTGACATGGTACTACTTCCAAAGAATATTTATACTTCAGTCATCACTGTCTTTGAGCAGAGCAAAGGCATGGATGCTTAAGTGTATGTATGTCTTAACAAATATTGCATCATTATGAAGTGTACCTCAGAAGCAGAGCTATGGTCACAAAAACACAGAAATGAATAAACTGTGTGAAAATATTACAGTAACAAAAGTGTTGTGAATTCAGCTTTGAAATATTTTTATTTTACAAAAGCCTATACATAAGTCAGAGATATGCCACAGTTGCTATCTATTTTCTCAGAAATCATTTGGTTCACACCACATATTTCTTTGTTCATAAATATAAGATGATCCCCTATTTTTAATGAAGTGACAGTACAGTGGAGTTGCATTGTACTTGGGGATTATGTTCGAAAGATGGTGCATAAAACCTAAATTGTATATAGTCAGATTTACTCTTGAAAACCCCTTAAATTGCCCATAAAGTCAATGCTTTCATATATATCCTGTAATATGTACATAAAGTATATAATAAATGGTACATTTACAAGTAAACTGTACAGTAATTTTATTTTTAATGACATAAAATATAGACAGAAAGGTGGAAGAATGAAAGAATGAAAGAGGAAAACAGTAAACCTATGGGTGGTCAGGGCTTGATGTCAATCCAGGAGATGCAGGGACATGCTTGCATGATGGAAAATGAGTCATAGGCCAATCACCTGTAATATTTGGGTTGGGAGCATATAGTTGAATATGTGTATGATGTGTGACTCCTTTGTAATCTGTTTCTAATAGTTGGGTAAATATGGTACATGGTGTTACAAAATGTGAAGCTTCAACATTTTGCAACTTTATACATAATGCACAGGGACCTGTTTCTTTAAAATGGTTGAAGTCTTTTGTTACTAACAATCAGAATATTGTAACGTGTCTTGCGTTACTGAAGACGCCGTAGAGATGGTTAATTGGTTTATTTAACAATCTACAAATAACGGCTACACTTAATTATCACACAGTTGCGGGGTTTCACACTTTATAACCCTAATCGCTTTAATCTGTTAACACTGTTGCGGGGTTTCACGATTTATAACCCTATGCGCAAATCAGTTCACTCTGTCTTCAGTAGTCTACACGTTTACAGTAGGGGAGCTTTGTATCACTGTATCACACGCTCCCAATTACACAATCGCACACACGTCCGGATCTTCTTACCGCGACGGCTGCTATACTCCAACTATAGTCCGCTGACTGGAGAACTGTTGATAACACGCTCTCGTAAGCTTGCTCGGAACTATCTTCGGCGATGGCCACGTTATAACTCGGCGGCTGTACAACTGAAGTCGCCGACTGCTACAGTAGAACTCGTTGGTA